CCGCACTGACCCGGTGGCATCAACTTGAGATTGTGCGTGGTGCGAAACCAGTTTCAGCTCAGAGCAAACTCAAGTCAAGTGCCTGCTGCAACGAGCCCAGGTTTCGGCACTTCATTAAGGAAGCCTGCACAGACAGTGCAACGGGGGGAGGGGCAACCTTGGCAGCGGCTGATGATGCGGCTTTCGAGTTTTTGGGGCAGGCAGGAAGACAGGCTGCCGATTCTGAGATGTAACAGGTTGCGCGTCGCTCAGGCGGCCAGCCAGTTGATGACCTCCACCTTAGTTGGCGTTACATATTTCGTATAGTTTTGATTCCATTCAAGCTCACCGCACCGCACGCTTTTAATTAAGCTCCAGCCATCGTTCATCGAAAGCCTAGAGTGCGAAGTGTAATTTTTCCCCTTCTCGAGCGACAGAATTGGGTTACAAATGTCTCAGGCCAGAGCCACGCTCTGGGCTGCCCAAATTCGACGTCGACTCTGAAATTGTTGTGCAATTAAAATTGCATTTTGGTTGCCGCAAACGTTTTGTGAATGCCTCCAGTCAGCTGGAGTCTGCAACGGTGCGTGCAACGCATTGGGGCAGGGCAACGCCTGTCTCCGTGTGGGTTGGTCTCTCAGGTATGTGCAAAATGTTATGGCCATAATGAAATAACCGACCGACATGATCATAATGTACGACGGCACGCGGTTAATGCTAAGCCCCTACAAATCTGTTGGCAAAACCGCCCGAAAGGGAGCTCTGGCTCTATGAAATTGAATAATAATTCCAAGTATTCTATGCATGCGAGTTACCGTTACAGAATGTCCCCCCCCCCATAAATCTCCCCCATAGATAGCTCAATTATTGCACAGATTGTGATCCCACGAACATTAAGCCATTGAAATTCTCGCAGCATTTCAAAAATGAAAACGGAAGCAGAGACTTTCCTTCCAGACGTTCGCTGTTCGACATTCGACACTGAAAACAGTTGAGTAAACAAAAACAACAACGAATAAATCTGATCGTGGCGTTAAGGTTGGTCTAAAACATATTTATAATTGGAAGTACACACGGGTGGGGGGATAATCAAAGCTAAAGCCAGTGCCCTGGCTATGGGTTTTGTGTGCCTGTGCTCGCCGGTTGCGTGACTCAGTCTGTGTGTCCAGTGAATTCTTCTAGTTGTTGCATCGTGATTAATCTGCATATATGTATGAATATGAATACGGTCAGCGACGGACGGCCTTCAGCGTATGGCTGAAACAAAACAACGCGACATTAAATTATGCGCCTAGGCCTATTATTTTATGCAATTGATAAATTGACAAACGCGAGCTCCGCTCACTTTTCTCGTGCCGCGAGTGCGTGCCCCGCCCGAGCCTGGCAACTTTCATATCGATTGAACTTTTCGCCAACGTTTGCTTGTGTTTGTCATTCGGTTTCAATGTCAAGGTTGCTGGCCGCCTCAACTCGAACAGAGTGCACTTATTGACTTTCAATTAGCTGCAGTTGCAGTTGCAGTTGCATCCTTGTAACCACACACACACACATACACACAGCAAAACGAAACAAGTCTGGGCTCTGTGTGTGCATGGCATTAGGCAAATGAGCGTCCGATTATGCTCCCTCCATGGGGAGTGAAATGTTCTGCCAGCCCACACGGAGTGGCAAACTGCAGTCTGAAGGCAATTTGTCGCACTCGACCGACGCACTTGCCAATACCAAAAAAAAAAAAGTGTACTCTGTGAGTGGGGTGTGGTGTGGAAATGCCACATATATTTGACAAATTGCATGAGATATTCAAATTTGTCTTTGCAAAGAATGGGCCTGAGTTTGAGCCAAGGCTGCACATAAATCAATTGAAGCCTGGACAAGACACAACACAGCACACACACATTGTACATATGTGGCCTGGGAATAGGCGTTGTTTTCCTTCTATTATATATCTAGAATTTAAGATCTTGACCGATTGTTAGTCATTCAGCGAATATTTCATTTAAGTTGCTTTTTGGGGCGTACGAGTGATGCCGAAACCTTTGCGACTTCCTCTGGGAATAGCAAGTAGCAGCTCCCGTGAGTCATTAACCATAAATTGAGTGCCTCGATATGGTCACGCCAGCACGGAGCAGCGATCATCATCATCATCATCATCCACATGACCTCAATTGTCGCGCGCCAGTTGCGACTTTTTGGCGTGATTTTGTGCTGGCAACAACCTTGGCCTTATGGCCAATGGAAAAACAATTGATAAACAGACTGCTAAATGCATATGTATATCTATAAAACAATCATCTAACGGCACTTGATCAACGCTAAACATCTGTTAACAGGCCCAACCCACACAACATACACCCAACTAGCGCGCTGACATTGCAAAACTAAAAATAAACTTTAGAAAACGAACAATAATGCAGGAATACAGACAGACAGACAGACAGACAGACAGACAGACTACCGTTAGGCCCGTCCCCGACTGTGCCGGCTGCCAGATTAATTGCACTTTGATTGCCAGAGCGCAGAGCGAGAGGGAGAAAGAGCTAGCAAATCGGAAGCAAACCGCATGGAAATCGCGCTGCACACGAGGCGGAAGCTGATCGGTCGGAGATCGACTTAACACCACAGTAGACACGAGTGGGATGAACTTTAATGCGTGTTTTTTTGTATTTTTAGGATTTCCAGGGGTGGCTTTTGTAGTTGGGTGAGTTCAATAAATACTTAAAATCTATTTTAAACATGTGTAACACAATCTTTAGTTAGCAACTACAGTAATACGAACTTATCGGAACAGCAGGCGGAGGCATAGGATTTAGTCGAAGGCTTAGTCGAAGTTGTAGGCGGTGGCCCCCGGCGAGTGGAGAGGCCCGCTTGCTAGGCACACGAGCAGCAGCTTTTCGCACAGGAGTCGCCGCCACAGGAATAAATACTACAACTTGAGCTGCTTCTTCACCTGCTGCCGCTCCAGCTTGCGCTCGCGCTGCTGCAGGAACTCTCGCCTCAGCTCGCTGGAACGCATCTCCAGGATGCAGTTGAGCTTGCTGTGTATCTGCTCGGCCGTGTGCGTGTCCGTGTCGAAGTCATAGTGCTTAAATCGAATATTGCTGGTCGTGCTGAAGAAGCCGAACGAGTTGCCCGGACTGCTGGGGGAGTGCGCGATGCCGGCGCTGCTGCTGCCGGTGCCCGTATTCAGCGTCGTCACGCTGGCATTGATGGGCGCCGAGGTGCAGCCGGAAGGCAGGGAGGAGGAGGAGGAATTGGACTTTAGCCAGATGCGAAGCAGAGCCTTCAGCTGACGCCGCTCCACAATCTCGCAGTGGGCCACGGCATCGATGGGCGTGGAGACGGGCTTCTTCTGGGGCCAGAACTTGGCATTCTTGTACTGATCGATCTCGATCCGCTCCCCGGAGATGCCCAGCGTGACGTCAGACTTAAAGAATCGCTTGTCGATGATGTTCAGGCGGAAGGAGCGATGCATGGGCGCCTCCAGCATATCGTTGTGATTGAGCAGGCGCTTCTCGTACTCCTTGACATTGTCGTGCGGACTCTCATCGCCGCCTCCGCCGCCGGTTGCTCCTCCCCCTGGATCGGCTGCTCCTCCGTTTAACGTAATGTTCTTCAGAGCCCTCACCGCTGCATCGGCCAAGTTAGCCTTATCATCCTCGGAGGTCATCGACTTGGTACCCAACTGTCCGGGGTAGTCCACCCTGGTGACAGGCGCCAAGGGACGCCGCTCTGCGAGGGTTAGGTGCGAGAATCCAAACTTGGAGCAGGGCTCGCGATTGTCTAGGGGCGGGAAGTCTTCCATGTCGTCGTTGTCCTCCGTCATGTAGAGGCCATAGTGCTGCAACGACTTCAGAGGCACATCTGGATACTGCAGGGAGGTCTTATAGCAGACGAAGCCAATCACCTCCTGGATCTTGGCCGTGGACAGCACGCAGACCTTCAGCGGATAGTTGCGGTCCGGCTCTGGCAGCATGTTCAAATAAACATTGATGCGCTTCGTCTGCATGCCCACCTGGGAGGTGCCATCGAAGCGAGCGAACTCGACGAACTTGTTCTGCGTCTGCTTGGGACTCTTCGCCAGTTGTTCCGTCAGCATGCTCTGCACCCCCTCGTCGGATAGGTCATCGTCATTCGACTTCGTCTCCTTTGGGCTGATGTTGGGCTTGATATTTGGTATTGCCTTGCGCTTGAAGAAATCCTTGTCGTCGGGCGGCTGCACTTCCTCGTTGTAGTTGATGCTCTTGATGCGCGCCGCCCGCCGCTTGGCAATGTCCAATTTCTCGAGCTTTTGGGCCGTGTTGGATCGAAAACGGTGGGCCCCAACCTCGGGATACATCTGAATGTCGAACGAGTGCGTGGACATGTCCTCCTAAAAGGGAAATCATCAATTAAATTCAGTTCTTCGACACGAAACCACAACACGCCCTGCAGTACGCTGGGATTTTGGGATATTACCTCATCGTCGCTCAGGTCCAGGCCGGGGTAACACACAAAGTCCACTTCCTGCATTGGCGCGTCTGGATGGCGTATATTCCTTTCCGTTTGAGTGCTGACCAGCGGTGGCTTCAGCGGCCTCCGCCTATGGGATTCCACCCCAGCCGATGAGTTGAATTTTCTCAAATAATGCTTTGGCATGTCATCGCTCAGCATCACCGTCTCGCACATCCCGGTGTCGTCGGTGGAGATGAAGGAGTTGCGTATGTGGGAGAGCAGCCAATGCTGGTTGGAGTAGGTGGCCATGGTTGAAGACAAATGGTTTTATTTGTAAATTACTTGTATTTCTATTTATCTCAGCATCGCGCAAACAATACACTAACGCGTCCACCAAACTGTTAGCCAGTGACTAGTCACAAGTATTTTTAAAACACACAGTCACGGCTACCCTACCACAATGTATTTTTGGAAGCTGAAGTGACAATAACCACTTATAAATAAACAATTTGAAGTGAACTACAGCTAATTTCAGACATTTCTTTGCTTCAGTTAACCATTGGAACTGGACAATTGTGATTCAGAAAGCAGCGTAAAAGTGGCGTGGTATTTTTTTGGTATTTTCTTGAGCCTCTTTGGTCACACTCTAGGCCACCATATGACTTTTTCCAGACGCGAAGGATTAGACAATTTCAGAATAGTTTCAAAGTAAGTTTTCGCCATGTTCGCATGCACAAACAACAGTTACAGCATGCTCAACTTTTTCAGTACACATAACTGCATCGCCCCAATGTTGTAGCAAGGCTTAAAATGGCGGGCCTCGAGGTTGAATTCGACGAGACAGTGGTCAATCAGTTTAGCTGCAAGCGTTGCGACCGCGTAAGTATCGCCACGATTTCGTGTATTTGATAAAACTTATGAACGAACTTCCTTGTTGCAGACGTTTAAGAGCAAGCGCGACCAGACCATTCACCGCCAGGAGGTACATAATCACAACAAAACTACCTATGAATGCAAGCTGTGTGCAAAGAGTTTTTGCAACTCGGGCAACCTCGATCGCCACATGAAAGTGCACAACGATGTGCGTCCGTTTGTGTGCAACATATGCTCGAAGGCGTTTGCCCAGGCGGTGAACCTGCAGCGCCACTTTGCGGTCCACAGTGGCGAGCGGCCGTTCACGTGCAACTTCTGCAACAAGTCCTTCACGCAGCAGAGCAACATGAAGCGCCACAAAATGACACACACCGGCGAGAAGCCGTTCCGCTGTCAGCGGTGTGGCCGCTACTTCTCCCAGCTCGTGAACCTCAAGAAGCACAAGCTCGGACACCTCAACGCCAAGCCCTACCAGTGCAATTACTGTGAAAAGGGCTTCACCCAGCTCTCAAACTTCAAGCGGCACCTGCAGTCGCACATCAAGGAGGGCGTGGACGTGGATGTGCCCGCCTCGATTCAAGCGGCGGCAGCACTGGCGCGGGAACGGCTCGAGACGGAGCAGAAACCGTAAGAAAATCCATCCACTGTGCCACTCCCAAGTACTAATGGTTTCCCTCGTTTCCAGGAGTTTCTTTGAGTGCATGGTTTGTCGAGCTATTTTCGATACGTTCTCGGACTACGAGAAGCACGAGAGCAAGTGCCATGAGGATAATGAACGGGCCACGCTGGAGGTCAATCAAATGACCCACATGCATCCCGATGACTATTTGCCCATGAAGTTCGCTGTGCCCGATCTGGACACGCACGAGATCATTATCGAGACTACACATTAGACTCACACACACACCCTACACCCTACACCCTACACCCACACCGACACATACAAAATAGCGCGCGGCTGGAGAGTTGTAAAAAAACACAATTGTATGAATTATTCATATTCATAGTACTAAATACGCCAGCAATAAATGCAGTAAACATAATTAATATATGGCTTAATCAGCCCCCCGATTATCTCCCTCTGTAAACAGTGTCGCAATGGGATGGTGAAGGATTTAGTGTAGCTCTAAAAGAGCTCTTAACTGCTGCCGTTTATTATGTGCGATTTTATGCCCAAATGATTTTTTGCTGAATTTCATTGTCACATCAAACGGAGTCGCTCGTGCGTAAGTTGCAAACCTTTGCAGTGCGTAAAATGTCGCCTTAATGGCACATTTACTGCAGCTGTAAAACGGTACACATGCTTGCGTCATTAACATGGAAAAGACTGTCCTTAAAGCATCGGCCCAAGTCAATGGCAACGCAGAGAGCGAGAAAGATGGCAAAGGAAAGATATCCGCTTGACAGCGCGGTAATTTATTTATATCTATCCACATATATATATGCTTGTGCGTTGATGTTCAACTGATTTATAATATTTCCTTGGTTATTTGATTGAAACTAATTAAGGGCACGTACCGGAGTTGTTTACACGCCCCCAGCAGCAGCAGCAAATGGCAACCAAACCATAATTGATCGCAGCGTGTCCTTGTTATCAGCATCCGGATGACAGCCCTTTGGGTCATGCATGGTCCTTGGGCTTCCTTGGCTCTCTGCTCGTTTTTGCTGCTGCAGCAATCGCAGCGCAGTAAATCAAACTATTTGTACCTCTGCGCCTCTGGCCGCGCTCTGCGCTCTGTGGCCAATAATATTTCATGTTCACATCGTTGTCCCCGCCGCCGCAGAACTGCTTAGCTGCCTGGAGCCTCGGACTAATAGCTCCACATTTATTAGGCTGGACAATGACATTTGTTATAAATTTATTAGAGCTCTCTCGCAATGCCATTTCCATGGCTTTATTTATTTGCAAGCTGAAATCAATAGCGCGTCTCGGACTCTACTTTTTTGCGTGTAGCTCAAATATTTGTTCACCGATATTGTGTGGCATGCAAATAGTCGCACGGGGGAACTGCTGGAGGTGGCAGCTGTGACTGTAACGAGTGCTGGGGGTGTCAGAAATTTAACAAACAAGTTGACAAAGACAAACAGCAGAACAGCATTCAGTTGGGGCAGCAGCAGCAGTCGCCCGAAGGTAGGCAACGCAATTGCTATAACTTTTGTGGCATTCACAGAGCCTGAAGAGGCTTTAAAAAAGCCACACCGAGAGAGTGGGTGAAAGGAAGAACAACCCCAAAGCATATCCCAAATTGATTTGGCAAATGTTCAGCCATCATCATCATTATCAGCTCTGGCGGAGAGTCGCTTCAAGCTTTCATGTCGAAACCACAGAATGCTTGGTAGCCAAGTCAACGGCAGTCACTGATGGCAGAAGCCACAGAATGGGCGCTGAAAAGATGGAGAATGCCGTTGCTGTGTAGGTGTTGTGGTCGCACATTACGGCCACCAAGTGGCTGCCAGGGACAACATCAGAGGCAGCTACAAGACCCAGAGCAGAGCAGAGAAGAGCGTGTGGTATGTGTTGCCATAATTGAGTTTTGCATGCAGCGCCAGCAAGTGCAGCAAAAACCTTAAAAACCGATTAGCCGATAAGCCCGATGGGATTCTGTTTTGTTTGCCTGTGGATGAACTATAATTAGACATATGGCAGACGGCAATTGAATTTTATTGGCAACAGAAGAATAGAAATAATGGCCATTCGAATAGATAAAACGAGCGAGGAGCCCGCATTCGATTGTCGATTGTCCCTGTGTAGCCTAAACAGATTTCGAATGGATTTAGCAGAGGTATGTGCAGAATCTATACAAATGAAGTCATTGCCATGCCAGGAGGGGCACTACAATCGACAGATACGACAGATAGTCAGGGGTTTGGTTATGTTTGTGTCGCCTTTGTGTTGGCTTGGCCTTGTACGAGTATTTTGCGTATGCCACACACAGCGGATGTTTTGACTGGCAAAACGTGACACTCCCAGACGGGTTTTGCGCCAGGCAAGGCAATGGAAATGCTTTACCCCCCCACAGTGTCACACACACATACAGTATGCAGAATGGCTGTCAAACACGCAGGGCGCTTAAACTAACACCTCTGCCTCTAACATCTCTCTCTCTCTCTCTCCCTCCCTTTGTGCTTGTGCGTGAGTGGTTTTTGGGGCAGGTTAATTTGGGAAATGTGCAAAGCCGGAGGACAGGTGGGGGCGCACCACTCGCTTTCCACGAAGATAATTGCCACGAGAGCTGTCAGTTGGGTGGAGGCATGAAATGGAACTGAATGGCAATTGCTTATGACTTTGTTCGCTCTAGCGGTTGCCTGTTTAAGCAATCAACACATGGACTCTGGCACTAATCCATTGTGATTAGAAATGGATCCAAGTTCGGTATCTCCAGTGAGGCGGAGGGATTAAGCTGCAGCTGAGACTCATTTTATTTGCCTTGCACTTCCACAAATTAAGATAAAAGTGTGATAAAACAATGACCACAGTTTAGGACACGCAGCATGGTCACAGCCATGCCGGGCAGGACACTGCTGTTGACCCATTGGCGGGCCCATTGGTAGGTCGATGAATATGAATAAATTGTGTCACACATTTCATTTGCAGCCCCTGGCGGCATTCAACAAATTCAATTCCCAACTGTCTTACACTCCCTTTCTTGCATATCAAAGGTTCGTGCTTGGGTCATAAATATTTTATGAGTTGCTTGAATGCCGGACATGAGTTCCCGCCCATGCTGTACATTTCAACTGTCTGTCTAATTTGTTATTCCAATGAAATATCTGCACAGAATAGTTGCAATCTGCACAAGGGAGACACTGCCACAATTGTGCAGCAGATGGACACGTCTAAGTTTGTTGCAACTCCTCTGATTGGCTTCCCACCAGACAGACAGACAGACAGACAGCAAAACAGATCTCGCTCTTGTCCTGTGTTGGCAATTCATGTAATTGTTGCGGCAATTAACTTGTTTTGTTCGTGTCTTTGCCCCATACTTTGCTGCTTAAGTGGTTCAACTAGAGCACAGTCATTACACAGTCGTGAATTGGCTCTTCAACCAGCCTTTGCTTTACGCTTCGCCACTTGCTGCAGCTTGGCGCAGATCCGTTGTACAATATATTTGCTTATCCAGTTGAGCAATGATAATAATTGAGATTACATATAGCTGAGTTCTCGCATCTGAGGCATCGCTGCTTTCGTCAGAGCTGCTCTCGGAGTCACGGAGTCACTGGGAAGATCCTGCAACTCCTGCGGTAGTAGTGCCACAAATATAGCGTATGCGTTGAGTGCCAGCAGCTGCGAAGGAGCGGCTTTCCTTTTCCATCAAAATATCGATTAGCTGTGCACATTTTGTCATTGATTTGAATTTTCAATGAAGAAACCACAGCACAAAATTTAATATAAATTCAAATCTAAGCAACAGACCCTGCCTGCTCTTTTTTTGTTTGGTTTGTAAATAAAATGCGGAAATGACTGGGGACTGGGTAGCCGCTTCTAATTACAAATGAATTTGCTGCGTATTAATGTCTCATCAAATATTTCATTTGACTTGCTTTCCGTCTTTTCTTCTCTTTTTGTTATTAAAACCCAATTTCGAGTCTCTTTTTTGCTCGTGCTATTTCTGTGCATAAATTTCGAAAGCAGCTTTTGCGTTGACAAGGAACACACTTTGTACGGGGATAATTTTAGATAAATACATTTTGCTCGGCCATTAAGGGAAAGGAGTCCCGGCCACATGAGTCTCTGGCTTAGGCCAAGATTTATGGCTTAAGCGGCAGAGGGGAGAGAGGGTGGCCCGTCCTAGGTAAGCCGAGGAATATTTCAATTTTGCTTGTCGTATTTTTAATATCCAACCGGAAATTGCAGACAATTTTTTCTACATCTCACGCTCCACCCCCCCACCACCCCTGAGCAGAGAGAAAGGAAAAGCCACACTCTATTGTGGTGATTGCCACAAATATTTTACAGCTGTCTGAAAGCTGCCGCTGATGCGGAACTAAATGCTCATCGTTTAGGGCAGACAGTCAGTCAGTCAGCCACACATTCGAGGCGAGTCCATTTGTAGCAAAGTCAGACAAGATGCGTGCCACCAATTTTCGCACACAATTTGTAAATGGAAAGCAAAAGTAGGGGAAGCACTTGGGGAAACCAAAGCGACAGAGAGAGAGAGAGAGAGAGAGAGAGAGAGAGATTGAGAGCTGAGAGCTGCTGCGTAGAAATCTCTGAGGATTTGCACATCAAACATTTTCAAGGCACTCGAATTTCGATTGGAATTCCGCTTGTCATCGTTGCCAGCCAAAACAAAATGCTTGTGCCGGGTTGAGATTTCGACTGGGACTCCGATTCAGATTAAGATTGAGAGCCACTCCAGCGATGAGTCAATCTTTTGCATTCATTTATCATCCCGATCAAAGCTAATCAGTTGTGTGGAAACTAGAACCTTCGTTTAATGAAGTTGGGGAATACTTTACCCTTCTCTTCCGTTTACTCTTCTAATGAGAGCAAAGCTGCTGGTAAACAGCCAGCAACATCAACAACGAGCAAATGCCACACAAATTTAGTGCCAACTTTAAAGTTTGCACTGCCCAGAAGGGACAGGAAAAGAGAGACAGTGCAAAAAGGAAGAGTGAGTGGGAAAATGGGTCATGTTACTAAACAAAGAAACACCCTGGTGGAAAAAAAAACTGGGCACTTTTTCCCTTCTCTCAGGGTAACACCGTGAAATGTCTGCATGGGGATTTTACTTGCGCTGCTTTCATTTTCAATGCATTTTTCATGCGCGTCCGAGATGAGTTTTCGCCCCAAAAGTCTGCTGGGAAATTGTGCGGCGTCATAGGTCGTAATTACTGCCACTTATTATAGTTATTTATTATCTTTTTTTTGTGCAAATTTAACTAGTCAGTTTCATTAACCATCAGCGTAGCGACGCGTGGCATTAAAGTGGCATTAAAGTTTCGTTTTATGAGAAAAGATCTACTGTTGGTGAGCAGTGAGGAGTGTGCCGGAGTGTCACAGAACACATAAATATATTCCTTTTTGCAACAGCTTCCACTGCGCCCATGGCGCCCACAGAGTGACCAACAAGTTTCAGCTTTCCTTTAGCTTTTGCCCCCCTGGTAGATTTCCTTTGTTTGAGCCAACAAACTCAGTTGTCAAAAGCTGGACAAGTTCACACATGGCACACATAGTCCTGTAGTTTGCTTGTCTCCTAATAACATTACAATGTGCTCGTATTTCCAGGGCAGTTCCTTGCTGACAGTTGCAGGAGAGTGCTGGAGTAGTTGCTGTGGGGCAGGTGCACTCGCAACGTTTGTTGTGCACACAACATAATTCAGTGCAGGCAGGCAGGAGGACAACCCAAGGGCCTAAGGGGACATGGATATGGCCATGCCCCAGTGCCATTTCGCATCCATGCACGAGCGGCTTCTGTGGAGAGCTCAGAAGCAGCTGCTGGGCGGAAGTAGCTGTCACTTTATCTCTCTATGTGTCTATCTTTCAGCTCAGTGACTTTGACTTTCATTCCGGAGTGCATTGCAGGAGTGCGGGAGTGCAGTTCTGCTGGCGCAGGCTTTGTCGAATGGCAAACACTTTGTCAAAAAGTGCAGAGTGCATAAATCAAACAGCAGGTCCGCTCACTGTTGCCCTCTGGCCTCTGGGCAGCTGCTGGCAGTTGATTTGAATTGCAGAACAATCGCAAGTGGAAGTCTTCAGCCAAATATAATTCCTGTGGCTATGGCAGGACTCTCTGCTCTCGCTTTCCCTTTAGCCACTTATGAGTTAACCATCGAGCAGTTATCCGCCCCAAAATGTTGCAAAAATCTCATCGTTTACCTGTCTGCAAATGTCGTAACTTTTTTCCATTTCATAAATCTGCCAAGGGTTTGGGTTTGTGGACTGAAAGTTGCCTGGCATCTGGCAAAAGAGTTTGCACTTTTTGACAATGAGGCGCCGCAAGACCTTTGTTTGTTGCACCAAAAAAACCCAACGAACATGCAACGATGACTGGTCTGAAGCTGCACATATGTCTGTTCGTGCCACACCATTTCTAATAGAGGAAACCGCACAATTTCTGTCAGCATTCCGTTGAGTGCCAAATACTGTAAGCTGATGTCCATCGTTAAAGTACTTAATTTTGAGCTGCCAAACGACGCTGAATTTACATTCAAATTCGAATCCACAGCACAGCCAAACAGGTGAAAAAAAGCGCGGCACAATGCCTTCCTCCAGTCGACGGGCTGATTAACTTTATTATGCAGCATTTTGCTGGCAAATCCAGTTTAAGCTGCACGCTGTGGGAGGGACTCACTTCTAATTAGTATTCATGTCACAGCCACGTGGAGAGCGAGAGAAAGGCAACGGCAGTTGGCAGAGGATATTCAATATTTGTATACGGCTGCCATGAGAGTCAAAGGAGTGTACGGCGTAAAAGTTGGGCATGAAAATCCCACATGGCAGTCGTTAGAAAATTCTACTTCATCCACTGGGAGTAAGTGCAGCCTGTAATTAGTCCTTGGATCTATGCTCTAGCGAGCTCTCTTTGTGTGTGCCTTTGTTGGCTTAAAAGTGAAGCAATTTGGCGTTAACATTGTCACGTTTGTTCAAGCAAATCGAACGCTTAGGCTTATGGCGGCGTATGGGTAATGTGTGGTGTGTGGTGTGTGAAAAATGAGAACAGTCTGCCGCCAGGCCTTAGTGGTAAGTGACGGCGCGTCCTTGAAACTAAACACCGAACATCGAAAACGAAAACGAAACTGAAGCCCGAACCCGAGTGCTCAACCCGAAATAGAAACATTTTTTGTGTGGCCTAAAAGAGGTGAGAGACGGAAAAGGAGCAGCAGGACAGGCAGCAATCTTATTTAACACAAAATATATTGTGACAGAGCCATTTTCAATGGCTGTTCGAGGGTTGTTCGTGTAGTTTTGAGCCCCCTCCGCACTCGGGCGGCTACTTACATGCCGCTTAGATTAATGTTTCGCCCTGGCAGCCCGACACAAAGGGATAGTTGATAAATGATTCCTGACATTATGTGCCAGCCCCAGCCCATTGGATGTGCTCTCAATGTCCAAGTACATTTATGGCTCAACCTTCTTCAGCTTGGACAGGACCAAGGCACAAAGGACACAATGTGTTTTCGTTTGGTTGTGCACTCAAAGTTAATTGGAAAACTAATTGACATTGGAAGTGCAATCAGGTGGTCCCAGTCCAAGTGCCTTTTATGCCCCAAAATAAGACAATATCCTGCCACACACACACACAACACCAACTGTCATATTAAAGTAATTAAGTGACAAAACAGCAACTTTGAGGCAGATTCCACAAGCCACAGAAGTAGCCCCATTAGCCCAGTTTTGAGGCGCATCAGGCGAAAATTTAATAAAAACAGCAGCCAGCCCTGCCCACAAAGTGCCCTCATATAATAGATACATTTGCATAGAAATCTGTGGGGATAGGGACACTGCCGCTGGCACGGAATTGTGTGCATAATCTTATCGAATGATTTAGTTTTGCTGCTGCTGGCTGCTCCTTTGTGCTGGCCTATCGCCCCGCTTATCTGGCAGGACATGAACAAATGAACAGCCACCACTTCCTCCAACAACTAAGAGAGGTTGGGATGTGGCCCTTCTTCTTTTTGTCATGTAGAGGAAATGCCGTCAAAAGAGATTTCTACTAATAACAATAATTGACATGTTGGAGGGTTGAGAAAAAAACTGCACATTTATTTGATGTCTACCCTTGAGGGAGATGGGAAATTCTCGTTAAATGCAATCAACATGCACCTTGCAGCCTCGCATGGCATGCAGCTTTGAGTGGACACTTTCACAGGGATATAAGCTGAACAGAAAGGGGGCGTGTACGTGGCTTTTATAGCCCTCATTCGGCCAAGGCAAAAGGCCATGGGGCAGAATGCTGCAATCTCCCATCGATGTGGGACCGCCTGAGAATGTTTTTCCTTATTGCACAATCCGGTACAGTGGCTTTGTGGCAGGGACTTGTCAGCCAAGAGCTTAGCATTTAAATGGCATTTAAAAGCGTTGCCTTCCTTCACTCGTTAAGAGTCGTTTCAATGGAAAACATTTACCCCTGCCACAATCAGCCGAGGGATAAAAAGGAAACCCTTCTTGAAGGTTTGCGTGCTGTTCGAATTTGCAGGAAAACTGTTTCGGCTAATGGCAATTTATTATCGTCGAATATTTGCGCAACTAATGCTGACCAGCACACCAGGAATCTGTATCTGAATCTGAATTTGGTTTGCTCAGTTGAGCACAAACAGAAACGAAGGTTTGAACTCGAGGATTAGGCAAGGATAAAGCAAATACACAGGCTAGAGGATACCCTGCACACAGTAATACTTTAGGGGTAGCAAGAAAGTGAGGCCCTCAAAGTCAACAGTTTTTGAAACCGCAAATAGAAGAGGAGGGACGGTGGGGCCATCAGAGATCTGCAGAATGAAATGAATGAAAGTGAATGAAAGCCATAAAAAGGCCAAAAAGAAGTGGCCCGGAGAGCGTGTAAGCCGCCAACCTCAGGCCCGACGAAGGGAAAAGGTCAATGCGAGAAGCGTTGGCAAAAAAAAATATCAAAAATAAATGAAAAAGAAAAGAAAACGTCGCTGGAGTCACCAAAAAACAGGAAAAAACGAAAAGAAAAGAAAAGTCAAGGAAAAGCATTGAAGAAAAGCAAACGCCAGCGATGCGTGCACATAAAAAAGACAATGGCAAAGGGCATACATACACACGTACATGGAATGTTTAACTATATACCTAAGCACTTAAACGCAGTCTAAAAGAGCAGATACCCTGTGTCCACACAGCAGCAGTCAAAACACTCTTTAATTCAAGGCGAATTGCTCTCGGCGCATACTCCTCTCTCCTTTGTTTTCTTTTGCTGGGTATTTTACAGTTGGTTTTTGTTCAGCTTTAAGCGCCAGCAACATCGTAAAAGCCGGCAAAAACCACAGCCAGCGCAGGCACTGGGAAAATTAGTGCCCAATACAAAAGTCGTTAAACTTAAAGTTATTTTTGTCAATTGAGATCTACAGTAACAAACAGCAAAACAGCAAATTCCAAACGCGATAGCGGAACGAAGGAGAGCGAATTCAGACGGGAGCGAATTCAGAGAAGAGCGAAGAGCAGATCGTTCGGAGAGACAGTTAGAGTTCTTGTGTGCGAGACCAAAATCCAATTCTTAAACCATTTCCAATTGTATTTCATCACTTATGAAACTTTACTTTCAACAATAAACTTATTTGAAATCCTTTAAAGCCCACAATTTGCATTCAGTCAGCAGGACAGTCGACAGCCGGACTCCAGGCGTCCCGACGGAGGTGGGGGAGGCAAAGAAGAAACAGCTAAAGCAGAGACAAAAAAGACATTGTTTTTGCAGGGAATCAATTACATTGCCAGTTATTGCCCAAGGGGGGAAGCTCCATGCCAGAGCATGGCTCTCACTCACTGTCTCTCTTTCACTCTTCATCTCTCATTCCATCTACTGGCTGCAAGCGATTTTTGATTAACTTCCGCCCACGCAGGACAGGGGCATGTACTACTCGTATAATGCAAGGGGCGGCCAGCAGGTAATAAAATAATAAAATTCTGTTTTGTTTTCAGCCCAAGTTCTCTCCATCAGCATTAGTCCCCCCAAATATCCTGCGGTACACGTGCCCAGAAATAGCAACAGCTTGCTGGAAGCATGCCCCAACAGTTCAAAAATATATAATAATAATAATAATAACAAAAACAACATCGAATCAAGGGAGCCGTCGCTGCCTTAGTGCTTGGCATCGGCAAAGCCAATCCGATGGTTGCCCATGTCGAACTCCGTGTAATATTTGCCCAGAAAGACATCGCCGAGTATCCAGAGGGAGCCACTGGGCGAGGGCAGATCCACGCCGATGAGCGCCGAGAAGCACATCTCGCGATCCTCATAGATGTCGCGATAGATGTAGTCGCTGCCATCCAGCGAGAACTGACGACTGCCGATGCGCAGGGTGAGGCGTGGCAGCTGCGGCACCTTGTCGCAGGGCACCGAATACTGCCCGTACTCGGTGGGTGTGCCGCCAATCGATTCGTTGATGAGTATCGCCTGCTCGTAGGGCAGCGCCAGGAAGGAGGTGCCCGTATCGATGATCACCTCGCAGCCGTGCTGGCAGAGTCGCAGATCCTTGATGTTGGCCGCCTCCATGAGCACCTGCCAGTAGGCGCGATGGCTGACCGGCACGTAGGTGAAGTTGCCCCGATAGTACTTCGGATTGGATCCCCCGAAGAACAGTGCACCGCCCTCCTTGTCCTCCTTCTGCCTGTTGAGGTACACACTAAACACGGGAATGCTCAGCAGCTTCTGCTCCATGATGGCGTAGAAGGGAGGCTTCACGCCCTGCATGGAGATGCTGCGGTAGGCCAGGCCGAAGATGCCATCGAATTTGGCTGCCAGAAAGATGGGTCCCGGCATTATGGTGACCTCTGCGAATGTCTGATTGAGAATCTCCAGTCCTGCCACGCGCACCGTGTCGCTGGAGAGGAACCCAGCCAGACTGCCACTGCCGTAGTGGATGGCAAAGTGGCCTCCGTTGCGGCGATAGCTGCTCGACTGGAGCGCATCGTAGCGACTGTGCACCATGCAGGCCACCATGGCAGGTGCACAGCTGGTGGAGGGCACCCACAGATTGGAGGATCCAGTGTCGAAGATCACCTTGAAGGTCTGCGGCGGACTGCCGATGGTGATGGGCCCGAAGTACTGTGCGTCCAGATAGTTGCTCAGCGGCTCGCTTCTCACCTCCCAGCCGCCTCTCAGTCCACTTTTAGCGCCCAAGCCGCTGTACTTGAGCCGCAAACGATCCATGCGGATGCCAAACTGCACAAAGCGCTGCCGAGCGGTGGGAAAGCGATGCAGGGGCACGCGGTACAGCTGGGTGCGGACTCTGACAGCGGCTCCAGCTGCCACAAGGGGCAGCAGCAAGAGAGTCGACCAAAGACTCATCCACATCATCGAATCAATAAGCTTTGCCATCCAGAAATTTGTTGAGCCTTAAAGCAAACGGAAAGCGTCTCTGATAGCTCTATAACAAAGTGTATTTAAATATGTATTTCCTGTACGACGTATACACTGCCAAACGCGGGGTCACCAGACCCTAACCAAAAGGTCATCAAGCAGCACGAAAAATAGCCATGGAAATTGTAATTGGAAATGTGAAACGTTTCCGCGTGGGGATTTTTCAATTGAACTCCCATCGATAACCTTTTTTTATGGCAAATATGAAAACTGTCAAGGTATCGGCTTGCCAGTGAATGAATAAGTGAATATGTGAATACACTCACCCACACGTAATTGCAGTTGCTGCTTTTGATGTGCGCCGCTCGATTGCACACAGGATTCCAGCTCCACTTTAGTCTCGAATTCAATTGCGAATTTAAATGTGTATCCTTTGCCGCTGCTGCTTCAGTGTTCTAAGTGCTTTTTTATGGGTTTAGCCTGCACATTTCAAGGGCAGACATACCGCAAATATTCAGGCATCCCCTTGGTCTGGCCGAAATGTTCCCCAATTAAAACGTCGACATTCTGGCTAATGCGACAATAACAGCTCCGACACTTAAGGCAAGGTGGAACGGAGAACGGAGAACGGATTCGCAGATCCCAAAACCATTTCCACCGAGTCCTTTTTGTCACCATCAGAAGGCTGCTGTCTGCCACTGACAGGCAGGCCACACCTGCGCTAATGGCCGCCCAGCGGGAGGGGCTCTGGCTCGGTGCCCCTTTGCATTATTCTTATCGCTGATCAACAATGACGGAGGAGAGCAGCAGGGAGCGCTGGTCAACTCAATTAATTCTGTTCTGTGCCGTGCGCTGTGTGCTGTGCGCTGTCTCCTGCCTAAAAAGGATTGTCCAAGCGGCTTTGATGTTGGCCAAGTTAATTGATAGCGAAAGTTGTGCAAATAACATTAGCAGCGGAATTCAAATTGCATTAGACTCTGGCCCTAAAGTGGCATTCAGCTAAACAGGCAGCCAGACTGCCTCCTCATTGAATTAGGCAAACACACAATTGGGGGGAAAACTTTTGTACTTTTCTGCTGGCAGGGTGAAACGTCATGTCTCCAAAGGAATATCTGTAGCAGGTTATGGGGTAAACTTTTGTGGCAACACTTGTTGATTTTTACCTGGAAAAAAGGAAAAGGTGTGCCCGAAAAGGTAAGGTGCCCGGAAATTGCCCACAGCAGGCAGCACATTTTGTATTTCTTGATGCTTAGAAATTGGGTATTTGGTTTGCAGATGGACATCCTGCTGTTTCCTGCCAGCTGCTAATACGAAAGAGATGGACTGACAAGTAACAGCTGGCCAAAAGTTGCTGGCAAGAAGTGCAGCTCCAAGGTCCCAAAAATAAAACCAATTATACCATTTTCCACGTATTTATTCATCTGACAAAATATTGGCATGTATTCAAACAGCAGCAGCAAAAGGGTAAAGGTTGCGGTTTACTCTTTAAATGGATTCCATTAAAGGCACTCCATAAAGGGAAAGAGTGTTATCTGTGCCCCAGACTGTGACTTGTTGCCTTGCTGTATTATTTATGAGCCAATTAGAGGGTCGACCCACAGAAACAAAAAAGAGGGAAAACTTTGCACAGAGTTTTGTGTTCTGTTTATCGATTTGCTGCTCTACCGCAAAGGGAAACTCCAGCAGCGACCCTTAAAAGTGCGCCACAGAATTGTTAACCCAGAAACATGAAGGATATGATGTGTTCTGTGGCACATGCCAATGCTATGCTGCAGCTGAAAATATGGAAATAAATTGCAAATGCCACGAGATGCGCAGAATAGAGAGGAAATAGCAACTGGAAAAGTGTAAAGAGTGTTCTAAAGATTACTAAAGGCGACAACTCATGAATGTTTATGCGATGAATGAATAAACATAAAACACCTAAACTGATTCACGTATGACCTGTTTTCAAGGCGTTTAAAAATGGCACTGATGGATATACAGACTTCCTGCCGCTTCTGCAACTGATGAGGCAATCAATTAAGCCAACAGGGATGCCAAACACTTTGCCACTCAATTTTGATTGATTTTCTTCGGCAACCAGTAGAAACATCTCACAAATATGTCAGAAATTAGTAGGAGGCAACGAACGAGTCAATGGAAACGAACAGAATATATGTAGATAGAGTACGGAATGTGTTCCATGATTTTTCCACAAGCTGCAGGAACAGCATCAACTGGCAGGCAGTCGATTTGCATAAAGAAAATTGCCAAGTGCCAGTGCCAGTGCCAGTGGATTAAAGCAGCAGACAACTGCTGCCTGCTGCCTGGCACAACTTTAAGAGCATGGACCAAAGTTTTCCTTTTACGATTAACTAAATTGTTGTTAAAGCCTGGCGGAACAAATATTTAATTAGTCGCAAAAGCAGATCGGGTGGCAGCAAACCCACCACAACACACACACACACACACACAGAAGAAGCACACATCCTGGGGCCGAACTCTGTTTTGCCACTTGCAGCCAGTGAAGCGTGAGGCACGTCAGATGAAATCCATTCTGTGGGCCGAAGATTAAAGCCGAATGCCAGCCGCCAACTAGGCGCAAAACTTTGCCTCTCTATTCATAATATATTTACACATAATTAAGGGAGACTCACTGAAAGGCGGCTCCATAAATCACAGTGCGTGTCAGTGTTCAGTCCATGAAATGCAGCCACAAAGGCCACGGGGAGGCAGGGGGTTTGCTCGCATAAGGGAAACATTTTTAATTCAAGTTTTACTTGAAATGAAACCCAAAATGTTGCTTTGCATAATGGAATTCCAGTAGATTTTTGCATGTGGCTTCCCCGTTCTGACCTTTGGCCTGTTAATGTGACCTTAAGTGACTTGCCACTTGCGGCAGGAGGCGGTGGGTAATTAAAGCAGTCGGGAAACCCTTTGGCAGCAGTTTCAACCCACACAAAGGCCTAAGAGCGTTTTAATTGAGTTTCGCTTTTTGGCTTGTTTCTCAGTTTGCCAGTTGCTGAAGTTGCCATTTTACCATTTTACAATGTTACAATTTTACATTTTACGCGCACAATTTGGTTAATTAAAATGCTTCAATGCTCTGCCTCTTATCTACTTCAGACAGGTGGCAAGTGTCCTTGTCCTTGTCGCAGTTGCTGTCGCTGTCGCTGTCGCCTTAGTGGGGTGCGTGAGAGGCACTTCAAGGCGGCAACTGCACACATCGCATATGCTGAAGGCTCAACAATCAAAGGGCTGCAAAGGGTGGCAAGATGTTTGGAGTGGGGGAATGAGAGTTTGCTGTTGTATTGGTGCCTTTGACGTAGGCAGACTTTGGTTTCCATTTACTTCGTTTTTCAGCGAATTACAATTAGAGAAATTTCCCACTTCCGCTCACATTTCACTTGCAAAAGCCACACAGAAAAAAGAGCAAAGAAATCTGCGCATATCAAATGAACACGAGAACCAGCAGGCTCTGCATTCTTCGTGCACATTAAATATTTATTCCTATTTTATTTTTATTTGAGCTTTTTCTTTTTTCTTGCAAAGAAAAAAGGGGAGGAGTGTCCGTATATGCAGCTGCCTTTATGACTTTCGTACTGGGTAAGCGTCCAGAGCCAGGGTGTACTTATGTTTCCTTAGTTGTAGGAAGCGTAATTTATTGCAAATCGATGTTGCTTTCTTCTCCCATCGAACCTTCGCGTTTGTTCGACTGCAACTCAAGCGGCGTCGCTGTTGCCGATCTGCTCTGCGCTCTCATCTGAATTCGCCGCCGCTCGCTTTGTCTGCGAGAGCGAATTCGCCCTCGGTCATTTTTGCTTTGCCTAGAGATCGCCCAGCTCCCGGTTTATTCACTATTTTTACATCTTATCGTTACACCCTTTAAGTGGTATCAAAAAGTCGAGCGCAGATGCCAGGAACAAAGTATTTTCAGTTCTTTGTATGTGCACTTGCCCGAGCCCCAGCTCATGCAACATTCATGCGCATTTGGGAAGCTCTTCCGCCCCCTCACCACTCCGCCATCAACCAACAAACTACTTATTTGCAACAATATGTATATTACCTTTGGCTAAGTATTGTCAGGGGCACTGTGAAGCACTGAGTGGGAGTTATGCAAAAGTTTCTTAACGAGAGTGTTTAACCTTTATCCTTTTCCTTCGCTGGGCTGGGTCGTCACTTAACCCATTAAAGCCACTCAATGCTCACCGCAGCCACTGCCTTAGGCTCAGGTTGGGTCTAATTAGCGAACAATTAGGCAAGGCCATGGACAGATTTCCAATTACAAACCCAAATTTCTATTAATTATGAATATAATTGACTCGAGAGCGAAGATTCGACTGTTGGTTGCTGAGTGGCGACAGAAAGTTGCGTAAATTCCCACAGATATTCCCAAGAATATTTTAAAGAGGAATTTACCAGAAATTTCTATGCGTTTTGCAGGTTCTTTGGTTACACCAACAAATTGTAGATGCTGGCAAAGTTTTGCTTTGTTTCAGCTGAGAACTCTGTTTCTTACGGAAGGAAGTTCTCTCCCATAAACTGAAAACTTGTTAAACTTTCATGCCACCACAGATGCTGCTGGGCGGACATGCAAAGTTTTTGAGCTCATCTTTGATGTTGGCAGCTCCTTGCAAACGATTCAATACATATTATATGACAGGCGGGCACATCAAAGAACACGCAGAAATATCAATTTGGAGCTTGGAGCACATAAAAGGGAATCCATTGTGAAGTACACTCAAGTAAATAGACCATTTATTCAGTTGTTGCTTGGTTGTTGCTACAGAAACAGTTAGACGAAAATATTTTGGCTAATATTGGAGTATCATTGGAGGATAGGTTTCAGGTGTAGACACGACATTTAGCTCGGGGTTTTGCTCTCCGCTCTCGGAAATGGAATTCAATGAAAGTTCAGTCTCTTAAGATGCACTTGCCAATGCTAAAATCATCCTCTAAACGGAGTTCTCCTCGAGTCCATGCTGCAACTGGGAAATGATTAGAGGCTGGAGCTGCATTCAGCTGGAGCTGCTAGTTTAC